ATCTCACCCTTAAGAATCTTCTTATTCCCCCATCCAATGTCACCACCATTAAAAAAAAAAATGCTGAATAACTGTGACAATATTGCAAAAGCAATAACTCCACTATGCGGTTCGATGGGTTGCACGTCTTAACGAGGGCAATGGGCTGCATGTCTCAATGAGAGGGATGGGAGATCATTTATTTTAGGAATCGAATATCCAATTATTAATACTTTCTAATCTAATTACTAACCATTACCCTTATAAAATATATATATATATATATATATATTGCAAAAGCAAATTAGAATGAACTAGGGACCAATACAAAACTGTAGTCAAATCTGCGTAACTTCAACCTTTCCAGTCTACTGGAGGCCTAATTTAAAAAATGTAATTGGAATCTCTTTTTCCGAGAATTTATGTAATTGATTGATAAATCTTTCTTCTCCAAAACATCATGTTAAAAAGTGTTTTTTTTTTCATGTATATGCCTATCACGTATTTATAATAATATTAATTATTAACTCACTAATTATAAAAACTAGAATCTCTTTCATCTTTTGACCACTACATGCACGACTACATGTATAGTAATTAACTTTATTAGTACTAAATAAAATTATGGTCTGTTTATGCGTCACACATGTCTTGGTTGATAAAAATTAGAACAAAATCCCCGCAAATTCCGGGGATATAAAGCAAAATCACATAGTTATGTTGAAATGAAATTTGACTAGATTCAAAGTTCCATGCCAAAACAAAATTTTCAGATCTTCAATATTCCCTCCCTGTCAATTTGATGTGATTAGTAGAAAACCTTGCACCTAATGTTAATTATACATAATCCATTATATAAATACGACAAAATAATATTCGTTTTATTTTTCACAATTCGACATAACTTGTTCAGTAAAATGCATGTTTTTCTCTCATTAAAAGGATATGTAAATTCAAATCTTCTACTTTTTCATTATTAAGATAAGTAGGATTGGAATTCCATTGCCTTGAAAGTGAAACTTGTAGACAAACAGTCCAAACTAGATTCAAGGGATTTCAGTTCCATAGCTCCCAGCTGCTACGAAGAGGCAAGAGTCTAAGTTTGAAACTTGCAGTTAGAATGCAACCAAAGACTCTCTCTCTCCCTCTCTATCTATCTATCGACTCCCTTATTCACATGGTAACCTAGAGTCTGTCCTTTAGTGATTTTTGTAATACCAGAACCCAGACGTGATTGACAGACATGTGAAGGACTCTGCAGTGTGGACTCTATCTGCTTATTATTTTAGGTCCATTAGGGTGGTGTGCATGTGCCTCCCCTTAATTTTAACTCATTATAATCAGCTATTTTCTGCTCTGGTTCTCTTCTCTACTCCAACCCAATTATGCCTAAATCATTTTCTGCTAAAGAATTACTACCACTACGGATTCCAAAACAGAGTATCATCTCTAACTATGAGACAAACATTCAGGAACTCAAATCTTGAAGAATGAGTTGGTACTTGTTAATTAATTATTGAGCAGGTGCAAATGCAATATTCTTTTTAAAATCATTCTTGGAATGGGGAAGAGTCTCTGATTCCAATCTATGTTGTTCAAACTGGGGTTCGCTTACTTAGATTTTTAAATGGAATGAGTTAACCTAATTCGAGGAATTATTAAAAAATTCTAAATTTTCTGTTTCGAGTGCCTAGAAAATTGTTGAGTTTGTTTTGCACTCTGGAAGGAATTATTGGATGAGGGCAACATTTCATTTAATTATTTAAATTATACAATTTAATATAATTTAAATTGTATAGCATTATTTTGTTAAAAATTTAATTTAAAAGTTTCATATTTAAACTAAAAAAAAAAAAGGATAATGCCACTATTCTGATAGTATTTGTATAGGCTAGAATCAGAAATAAAAAAACAGAGGAAAAGCAGAATTGTTGTTTGGGTTGCCCAGACAAAGACCGGAAACATTTTTTTATATATCAAAGGGTTAATTATATGGTAATATAAAGATTTACATCTTTAATTTTAATTTTTAATTAAAATTTTTAAGTTAATATATATTAATTCAGTGAAATTTTGATTAGTACCAAAACCTTATTATCTGTAGAAAACTAACATACGGAATGGTAAAACCAAATTAAATTGGTTTTCGTTCTCTTTTCTGTAAGGTACAAAACCGAAACTGTAGGCTCCCTACTGAGGTTGGATTAGTTTGTAGTTTTTAGAATTACTGGCCATATTTCTATTAATTAAAAGGCAGAGGGTCCCTTCCTCCCAGGGACAGAACTTCTCTTTCTTCCATATATGCACGAAGGGGTCGGTATAGAGAGCTATATATACACACACCTTTCTGGCTAAATTTGTACTCCCCATACCATCTACAACTCTTTTTTGTGGAGTGGGGTTGCAGAGAGCTTCTAGATTGGATCAATGGCTGTTTTCATGATGGTTCTTGGCTTGTTTTTCTTGGTGATCTGTTCTTGCACTGCTCTGCTCAGGTGGAATGAAGTCAGATACAGGAAGAAAGGTCTTCCCCGTGGTACCATGGGTTGGCCTATCTTTGGAGAAACCACTGAGTTTCTCAGGCAAGGTCCAAACTTCATGAAGAACCGAAGAGGAAGGTGATGGTTCTTCTGTTTTCCGTTGTTTCTTTATTCTGTGCTTCAAAGCTTTTAGGCTGTTATGTTGTTTTTACTTTATATCTGCAGATTTCTTGATTAAAAAAAGGACTTTTTGGGATCATATTCCAGCCTGTCCAAACCCCATTTGAGAACACCAATTTTTCTTTTCCTTTTTAAATTTTTAATCAAAAAGGAATTTTCATTAATGAGAGCTGCCTGCTAACGGTTGCCTTGTATAGTTAAGAATCATTTCCAATTTCCCTGATGGTGGAAGATGTTCTGTGAGCTTGCAATTAATAATTAATTCTTTTACTTTTCTTTTTGTTGGAGTAATTTTTAACTTAAATTAATAAATTTAACATTCATTGTAATTTATCTTCTCCTTACCCTAGTCTGTTCTTGTAACAGGTATGGAAGTTTTTTCAAATCCCATATTTTGGGTTGTCCTACAATTGTTTCCATGGATCCAGAGCTGAACAGATACATCCTAATGAACGAAGCAAAAGGGTTGGTTCCTGGCTACCCTCAATCCATGCTTGATATCTTAGGAAAATGTAACATTGCAGCAGTCCATGGCTCCACCCATAAGCACATGAGAGGAGCTCTGCTTGCTCTCATTAGCCCTACCATGATCAGAGACCAACTCTTGCCCAAAATAGATGACTTCATGAGAACCCACCTCAACAGTTGGGATAACAGGGTCATTGACATTCATCAAAAGACCAAAGAGGTATGTATTCACCTTCAAAATCTTGAAATAAATAAAAATTTTATAAAGTTCTTGCTCATAGGATCTTCCCCTGTCTTCACCATGGCAGATGGCACTTCTTTCATCACTTAAGCAAATTGCCGGGCTCGAATCCAGCTCAATGGCTCAACAATTCATGCCTGAGTTCTTTAAACTAGTTCTAGGAACCCTGTCTCTTCCTATCAATCTCCCTGGAACAAATTACCGGCGAGGATTGCAGGCAATTTTCACAACCATTCTTCATTGTAGTTTTGGTAAATGTAGTATGTGCAGTAACTGAGTAATTTTCCACTGTGATTTATTTTCAGGCAAGGAAGAATCTTGTAGGCATGTTAAGGCAACTGATACAGGAGAGGAGGGCTTCCAAAGAGTCCCACCATGACATGCTAGGTGGACTGATAAAAATAGATGACAATAAATACAAGCTAACCGATGATGAGATAATTGACCAGATTATTACAATTATGTATTCTGGTTACGAGACTGTTTCGACTACTTCCATGATGGCTATCAAGTACCTCCATGATCATCCAAAAGTTCTTGAAGAACTAAGAGTAAGTTCAACACACATTTGAACTAAGAGTTACTCTTAAGGGACCCCTTTTTTTTTTTTTTATTTCATCTGATGATGGATTATACAATGTTGAATAAAAACATTTTCTATGCTTCTTGTTTTTGGACTTATTGTTGAAAATTTTCAGAAAGAACATTTGGAAATCAGAGGAAGGAAAAGGCTAGAGGATCCAATTGAATGGAATGATCTAAAATCGTTGAGATTTACTCGGGCGGTAATTGTTGAGGCATCAAGATTAGCAACAATTGTGAATGGTGTTTTGAGAAAAACTACAGAGGATATGGAACTTAACGGTAAGTATTTGAGTACTGAAATATTCCATGGTGGGATCCATTGTGTTAATAATTCCTTATTGCAGAACCTTTTTCAACTAGAAATTATATGTAAAAAGATGTCATAGACAATAAGATCATCTCCCGTCTGCTGTGGACCTTGCCCCTATCATGATTCTCACCTACCAATCCAGCTAGACTGAATTATTTCTAAATCATTTTTTTGACAAGAAATAAAGCAAGATTCTCAAGTTTTGTTTTTTAAAATATCACCTGAAACATGAAATTTCTTGTGTTTCTTGCAGGATTTGTGATTCCTAAAGGATGGAGGATATATGTGTATACAAGGGAGATTAATTATGACCCTTTTCTGTATCCTGATCCTTTAGTCTTCAATCCATGGAGATGGCTGGTTCGTTGTCGATAAACTGTTTTTCATTTTGCACTCCTCCGTGAACTTTCTTTTAACCCAAGTTTTTACTTAATGATTTTTCCCTAAATGCAGGATAAGAGCTTGGAATCTCAGAGTTATTTCTTCATTTTTGGAGGGGGCACTAGGATGTGTCCTGGGAAGGAACTAGGAATAGCAGAGATTTCTACTTTCCTTCACTACTTTGTAACTAGATATAGGTAAAAATCTCATCTCTTGGGTAAATTACAAAAACCATTCTAGAGTTCTAGGCTAAACTATATTTCAATCCAAAGATTTGAAAAATGTACACCATCCCTCACTAAATAACAAGTTTAGGTCTTCTAGGGGAAGATGTAACTTTTCAAAATCTTTGATCCAAACTTTGATTTATTGTTATGTTCAATGAAAAAGATAAAAAAAGTGGTGCAGAATTTGACTTTAATTGGAAATTGTTTGTTAATTTACTGCAGATGGGAAGAAGTTGGAGGAGATAAATTGATGAGATTTCCAAGGGTGGAGGCACCAAATGGACTGCATGTCAGAGTCTCATCTTGCTGACTGCACCAGCACTGGTTTTTTGTACAGGGGGAGAGGAGAGAGGTATAACATAGGTAAAGGGATAAGTATGTACAATAATGTCTGCTAACATATTGTAGAAAAAATTGAATCAGAATTTAATGACATTTGAGTCTTTCCAACTTAAGGCCACTATAAACTGACTGTTACTTACTACTTATTTTGGCGGGACAAAGAGCATCTTCCAAAAATGAAAGGATGTTCTCGAACAAGTAGAGGTGACAAAAAATTACCTGATACGTCAACTCGATTTTAATTTTAATTTAACTCGTAAAAATAAATTAGAAATTATGTATCTTAACTTGGAAATCTATAATATCAACCTATATGTATTATGAGTCGAGTTAGGATTAATTCACAAATTGTTTATTTTTTATTAATACATTTAAAAATACTATATTTATTATTTTTTATTAAATAAATTAGAAATTATGTATCTTAACTTGGAAATCTATAATATCAACCTATACATATTATGAGTCGAGTTAGGATTAATTCATAAGTTGTTTATTTTTTATTAATACTTTTAAAAATACTATATTTATTATTTTTTATTAATTTATTTATTGATAATTTTTTCCATTAATTTGTACACTTCAATTTCATTTCCATTACTCAAATGATTTTGAATTTATTTTGAGTGTTTACTCATTATTATTTCTTCTTTCTTTATTTTTTTAGAAATTATGTAAGTTTGATCTAATTAGTAAGTAGCATGAATTAAATGATAATACAATTAAAAATATTAAATATGTGATGTTAGGATATAAATATAATAATTTAGTAAAAAAAATTTTTAGAAGAGCAATTTCATCATTAAAAAAATGATTTAGACTTATTGATAATGTTTCAAGATAATTGTAAAATTAAAACTTAATTTTTTAAGAAATTTAAATATTTTAAGTTTAATAATATTAATCAATTTATTGTTGTATATAATTTTATGATTTTTCTTAATTTAAATAGAAAATGATATGTGCACCCATTTATTCGACACTGGATAGGTGCACATTCCATAAATTAAATATTTAAGTCTATGTTATCCACAAACTTTGACCTATTTATGTATCCAACCAGATTGCAACCTAAGCCTTAACAATTGTAATTCTTCATCATCCATTCTGATGTACCTCACAAATATTTATTTATTTTTGTTTTCGTTGAAGTTGACCAGAATTGATAAATATAGGCACAACTACTTCCATCCACAAGCACGAAGCTGCGAGCCTTGAATCGATGCCGGAAACATCAACGTAGGGTGGTATGGCCAAAACTGTGGCGGAACTGCGAGCCTCCATGTCAGCATAGAGTAGTTTTTGTCACGAGCACAAGTGGCACAGATGGAAAGCATTCGCCACCAATTCAGAGCAATATGGTTCATTGATGGGTGCTCCATCCATCCTAATTTCTTATCACCCAAACAAAGGAGAATGCAAATCTAGGTTCTCCAAGGCAAACCCAATCGTGGGTTCCAATGCCTTCGTGCTTCATGCTTTGTGTCGACAAACACCAGATCTGGGTTCCTTTGTAGGTTCCCACTTGCTCATCTTCATGCTTTGTGCCAGTGAAACTGACGATGAAGAAGAGGAAGATGAGGTTGCAGATGATTACAATGAGGATGGAGGTGAGGAGGAAGATGGATCTGGTAATCTATGTGAAGTGCTTAGGGTGGGTGATTTATGCTGGACAAGTGAGGAATAAGCTGTGAATAAGCCTATTTGATTTAATTTTGTAAACCGACCGTGTGTGTGAAGAAGGGTGCCGGTTTGGTGGGTGAATGTATCACCGTACAATTTAAATATTTGTAGTGGAAACTATAAGTACTTAATGTTAACGAATGACGATACTTTAAATAAATTTAGATATAGATGATTTTATTTGTATATAATAAAATTAATAAAAATAATTATAAAAAATGGAAATAAGGTCAATCCGCGAATTAACTTGTAACCCGCTAAAATCAGATTAGGATTAAACTTTTCCAACTCGCAACATAATTTATGACCCAATATGTATAACCCATTACCCAAATTGACCCAACTTGAACCCGATCCAATTTGCATGTTTGCCAAGTCTACCAACAAGGGAACCTTGGAAGATTGGTGTACCAATGGTGTAAAACCTCTAAATTCGCTCTTTAAATAAAAAAGAATAAATAAATTTATCTCTTAAAAAAATATAAGAATATATTTTTTTAAAATTATCAATTAAAATAAGAAAATAATGCCTATTAGCCTTATCTCCTAAAGATTATGAGGAAAATCATTCCAAAAATACGTCGTTTCAATAAATTTTTATTAAAAAAGATTAAACTATTATTTTTTTAAAGCATGCATTAAGATAATTTTTATTTTTTTTCCTCCTAATTTTTTAAAGGTAAGGCGGATAAGTACTAATTCCTTAAAATAAATCACTTATTATTATTATTTAACGTGTGATGTTATCACACATCAAAATTATGTTTGCCATCTAAGCATATTTTAATGAAAAGTTGACCTATGATAACGTCAAATGTTAAATAATAAATAATTTATCTTACTCATTAAATAATGAGTAATTTATTTTACTCAATAATAAAGGGGAATTATTTTTTTTTTTTTTTTTTTTTTTTGAAAAGTAGACCTATTTTTACCTTCTTATTTGAAGTATAGATTTAGATATTTTACCTACCTTTAAACAATCTTCAATCGTTGGTACCTTAACCAAGCATATGAGAGAGTTGTTATCAGTGGAAAAGAAAACTACTACCTTGCAATTTTGGACAAAACCCAACATTTAGCTCCTTACTTTATAAAATTGGTAGATTTTAACCTTTCACCTTATAACATGACAGTTTTAGCTATTTATCTTATAAAATTGATAAGTTTTAGCCCATCACCTTACAAAGTTGGTAGGTTTTAACCCTTTACCTTATATTATGATATTTTTAACCCATCATAAATACGAATTAAAGAAAATAACTCTCACCTAACATCAGGTTATAACGTTCTGTTGGTTGATTGTTAACATCTGTTAGCATTTCGTTATAAAAAATATGAAATTTAAATTCAATTTTATTTGTTATTTTCATTAACGAAATGCTAACGGATGCTAATAGTTAACTAACAGAACTGATAATCAACTAACAGAACTGATAATCAACTAACAGAACTGACAGTCAGCTAACAGAACTAATAGAATATTAAAACATGATGTTAAATAAGACTATTTTATTTAATTCGTACAGATAAGGGGTTAAAAGTGTCATAATATAAGGTAAATGTCTAAAACCTACCAACTTTGTAAGATAAGAAGTTAAAACCTATTAATTTTATAAAGTAAGGGGTTAAAACCTACCAACTTTATAAGATAAAGAGGTAAAAGTGTTATATTATAATATTAGAGATTAAAACCTATCAATTTTGTAAGTAAAATGGCTAAATATTGGTTTTAGCCACAATTTTATCAAAATTTCGAATTTAAATCTTAGAATAAGCAAAAAAGTGGTCTTTTATTTTACATCACTGATCAAAAGTACTAATGAAAAAATGAAATTTACTTTAAATCTTTTCAAGAAATACTAGCAATTTTTTTCAAAATTTACTTCCCAACTCAATTAAAATTAAAATTATTAAGTATAGCCAGCGCTATTTATTTGTTTATTATTTTTTGAAATTTGCCTATTAGGAATCCGAGATTTTCTGTTTGAGAGTACTTCTTCTACTATTTTGTCTCTTCTCCCTCCGGTTTAAGATGGAGGAAAAGGCCGAAAGGGCCTATAGAGGTCTAGGGAAAAAATTTGTCAAAAAGCCCAGCCCTTTTGCATATTACAATGTGGACTAAGAATCCCATTGTGTAATTAAAAGCCCAGCCCAAACAACACAGTTAAAAAAATTCATTAAATTAAAAAAAATAAAATAAAATAAAAAGATGCGATTTTAGCTGTTGGTCTTTCTTCCTCTTGGTTTCCTGTTCTTCCCCTTTTCTCCCTAAGTTCCCTCTAATCTAAACCTTGTCAAGTATTGTTGTCTCCAAAATCCCCCTTTTCGATCACATAATAAATAAGATTACGAAAATATGCCATTTATTTTACTTAAAGTGAAAAAGAGATATTTTCAACAATCCCATTAATTTTAAGTGTCAACTCGGTTGTAACTTGTAAGTGCAAATCTACTCTTTTTAAATCCTTAAAAATAGCGAATAGAAAAGGGATATGCTTGGAACTTCTTCCGTCTAACGGTTTGGACTACGTTTTTCATGGATGAGGCAAAAATTACTTCTAAATCTCGATGAAATTTTAAGCCTAACAAACCCAAGTGAGATGGTCTCACTCCATTTGAACATTCTGCCCCCATAGCCATGCACAAACCCATCGCCTCCGTTCTCTAACCACGACCCAGACATACAATACAGACCGCCCATCTTCTGCACGTGGAAAGAAGCCTCTTCTTCCTTAATAATTAGTCAGGTTTTTGTGAAAATTTGCCTCTTCTTTTTTACCTTCTATATTTTCCCGTCTCCTATTCATTGCACCGATTTGTTCTTTCTTTGGGGGTAGCCAAGACGGGCCGAGTCTGGGTTGATTCGTTCACGATTGGCCCAATTCTGGAAACAAAAGGGGGATTTCATTTTTTTTTCTCTCTTCTCCCACGCAAATAAATTTGATCTTGACTTAAATGTTATAAATTATATCTTAAGAACTTGATTATACCAATTCTGATTTCAGAATAAAACTTTTTTTTTTCCATTGTGATTGCACCAATTAGCTCTATAGTCCTTCTTGCCAAAGTCTACAACATGAGGTGAACAAACTTACGGAAACTAAGGGTGGATCTTGAAATAGACACTTCATTACTTAAATTAGTAATAATCTATTCTATAGACAAAGTAAACAAGAAAGAGTCTATAGGTAAAAAAATATACCTTAATAAGTACCCTTAAAGAATATTTACAGACTAGAAGTATGATTTAATTGATTCACCTAGAATAATTTTTGGAGTATGATGTTGTGTCTTGAGTGATTTTTGCAAAAGTGTATATGGATCAAATACCATGAGCTTTCATGAGCTTTCTATGCAATCAAAAATGAAGACCGAGATGAGTACTTCAATCCTTAAGATATAGTTTAGCCAAAAGGGGAATGACATGAAATGTTTGAACATATCCACACAGCCATTCTTTTCAAGGTTTGGATTGACGTAACTCTACTTTAATTTCCCTAACTTGATATTAGTGGGAATATACTTAGCCCAATGTAGGTTGCTTGTTCCACCAATTTTAGGTAGAAATGGGTAAATTAAGTCTTTCTTGCATATCTCTTCATATGATTTCCCCCTTTCCTTCCCACCAAATCAAAGCTTTCCTCTTTTTCTTTTTCTTTTTTTTGTTCTTTTTTTGAATTCTAACATGTCAAAACTTTAACGAATGAGATTTTTCCTAGTATCTACATTCTATGTGAGAAAAATAATCTTGAAAGGTCATTGAGAAGATAGAACAAGGCATGTGAGAAGTGAGTACCTTTTTCCTGTTTAAGGAACTTAGAAAGTAATTAAGGGGAACGTTAGACTGGTAAATGACATTGTTGGGCTGCGTTTGGACTGAAACCTTTATTCTTTAAGACTTCAAGTTCCCCTAAAACTCATCTCAGCTCTAAATCAATGCTAAAGGAAGCACAATCAGCTGCGAGAATTAAGACATGCTGCTTCCGAAAAAGATAGTTTGAAAATATATGGGTACACGTTACACCTTCCAATTTGGCTCCCTTCAACCCCCGTTTTTCACTACTTGCCTTCTTGGTCTTAGAGTCTTAATTTAGACCCATCATTTAAAGCTAAGTTGCCTTTTGGAACTTTAATCAAAACTTGCTCTCATTCCAAGACAAAAGGAAGCCCCTTTTTGCATGTTCAAAAAAAAGGAAGCCCCCTTTTTTTTTTTCAGAGGTGCATTGGTTTTCGCTTGTCTTTTTTAATATTTCCCATTTTAGAGAATAAGGAGTTTTGATTTAATTTGCATAAATTAATTTTAAAAAAAAAATTAAATTTAATAATATATTTTTAATATCAAACTGGTATATTTAATGATGAATTATCAAGTATTGTTAGCCTTAAAATTTTAACCTTACGCTCAACTTACATTGCTTCTGAATTTTAGAACGTAAAGAAGATTGTTTAATTCAAGATCAAATTAAAACAGAAATGATACTAGTAACTAAATATATGTTGATGTTGCCCGGCAGCACATGGTTGATGTGCATGCAAAGTAAGGATGAAATGTCACAGTCTTCTCACATCCGTCTGCATTCGATGTAGAATTTTATTAGATTATTGGACAAGTCTACTGAACATGTGCAAAGCAAAACTGAATCAATCATTGATAAATAAACAAATTAATCTTGTACCGACGTTATCGAGTTACTAAAACGACACTCAGTGAATCACTTCAGACTTTATTGGTAATTTAATATAAAAATCGTTCCTAACATGTGGATACTTTTTTTAAAATCATGACCAGTTTGTGTGTAACTTAATTTGAGACTGTAAGATTATAATTATAATATAATTTTTTTATATTTTAATATTAAAAAATATAATATATTTAATATTTATTTTAATTATTTTTTTGGCAAATTTAATTGTCTCATTTTTAAATAAAATTTGATTTGATGATTTTATATGATAATTAAAATTGTTTTTTGCATGTAATACTTGTTAAATATTTTTATTTAGATAAAAAAATTTATCATTTATTTACTATATAAAATTATTAAGTCAAATTTTATATAAAAATTAAATTGAGATAATTCAATCTGATTAGAGTGAATAATATTTTCTATATTTTTTAAATAATAAAATATAAAAAAAAAATATTAAAGTACCAAAAAATATTCTCAGGCAGATCCCACATCATGCTAAATTTGCCTTAATTTGATAAAAAGTATGTCATTGACGTTAGCACTAAAAGGGCATAGTTCTGTAATAACTGAATTGATTCTTATATTAACAATGTATAGAGGGACCAAAATAAAATTCAAACAAAACTGTATAAATTAAGTTTAAAAAAAATAAAGTAATAATAATAATAAAGAGAGTTGGTTGCCAACTTACCACAATCCATCTTCACTACCTTGCTCGTAGCTGTCCTTGTTCTTTTGTTTATAAAACACAAAAATACAACGAACATCACAACCATTGACTTTAGTGCAGCACATGTTTCTAATTATAATAATCACATACCTTATATAAAGAATATATTGTTTATTCAGAATGATAAATTTTCTTTTATAGTCGGATTGTCTTTCGATTAATTTGAATGGATTTTTAGATTAACTTTTTGACAAATAATTATAAAATGCACCATCTCTTCATAACTTGGTATATACAAAAAATTAAATTTATTAAAGTGTTGCCGATGCTGAAACAAAAATCTTATACTTGTCAAATAACACTTATAATTTGGGTGGTGTTATTGGGACAGCTTTTTTATTTCATTTTTTTTTTATATAATTTTCACATATTATTAAATTAATGAATGCATTTAATATTATGAGTTCCACATGAATTAAAAAAATAATCATATTAATGACACATCAAATTATACAAAAAAAAATGAGATAAAATGATTGTGCTAATAGCATTTCCCTTATAATTTACATCACATCCAACTCAATTGGTTTGATATATGTGTATATGTCCGTAAAAGATGCAAGTTAATATATGGAAAGTTTTTGCATATGTTTGGAAGGTCACAAGGATTACAATGTAACTCAATCATTAATTAGTAACTTCACATTTTTTCTTACTGAATCAAAAGGAAGGTTCTTTCTTTAGATTAATAATTTAAGTAATTTAATGGTAATTATTTTTAAATGAAATTAAAAGATTTTATATTCAAATCACATAATATGTGAGTATAATAAATTAAAAAAAAAAACTATCCTTTATTGCACAATTTAAAATATATATAAATAAATTCTTTCTCAAAAAATACGTTATGTACTTACATTACATGGTAGTTTTTTAGTTATTGGAAAAGTGCACCCATAAAAAGAGGAGAATGAAACAAATGCAAAAGCTTTTAGGCATTGCACTCTTATCATGCATTCACAATCACAAAATACTCACCTTAAGTTGATGTTTTGTACGTCGAATAGCTTTTAAATATAACCGCTATACGCAATGAGATGATGAAATAGATAGATAAAAATAAATTCGTATACCACCTACGACATGACTTAAACATGAGATGAGATTCACAACTAGCAAGGCTTCATTGTCGGCACCAGGAAACTCGTGTTCAATATTCAACCATTAATCTACCAGGATCATTAATCAACCGAGGATTATAATACATATACTGAATCATGGTAACAAGCCACTAGACCGACCGGTAGTTTTTTTACAATTAATTTTTACACACTCTAACTATTGATATTGTTAAAAGAGATTTTCTAATATGTGTCTTTAAGACATATATTAAGTTTTATTAATTGTGATATTTATAATTAAATTTGCATAAATTTTTATATTAAATTTAATTAAAAAATAAAATGTAAAATAAAAATATAATATAATATTTATACTTAAAATTTATAAAAAAATATGAATTTAATATAAAAATTTATATATAATTAATTATAAATATTATAATTAATGAGACTTAACGGAACATGTTAAATAACCTATCATTAAAAGGTTGTGATTGTTGAAAACCTTTTTCTTTTGACTTAATGCAAAATTGTTCCCTCTATGTGGCTTTAGCAAAAATTGGAAAGAGGTTTTGCTTGTTTGGGATTCAAAGAAAAAAAAAA